CAGCATTTACTACTGCTGCTGCAGTTGCTGCTGCTGCAGTTGCTGCTGCTGCAGCTGCAGCAGCAGCAGCTGCAGCAGCAGCAACTGCAGCAAGTAGTTTTGTGTTTTCTCTCTGCTTAGCTCCACCATAAACTGCAGCAAACTCTAATTGTTCTTTCTGCTGCTGCTGTTGCTGCTGCTGCTGCTGCTGCTGCTGCTGCTGCTGCTGTCTGGGGTTTGGTTCGTTGCTTAGGACTATGTAAACCCTAGAAAGGTGTATAAACCCTAAACAAAAATTAAAAAACTAGGGTTTAGGGTTTAGGGTTTGAGTCAGTTGGCTGCTGGGGGGTTCCGACAGCCAGCAGCAGCAGCAGCAGCAGCAGCAGCAGCAGCTGCTGCTGCTGCTGCTGCTGCTGCAGTAGCTGCTGCAGCCACAGAAGCAGCAGCTGCTGCTGCAGTAGCTGCTGCAGTCTGCGCGGTACAACATCTGCTGCTGCTGCTGCAGCAGGTGCTGCTACTGCTGCTGCTGCTGCTGCTGCAGCACTTTTTGTTGCTGTTGCTGCAGCAGCAGCAGCAACAGCAGCAGCAGCAGCAGCAGGATTTGGCTGGGAGCGAGGAGAGACAGCAAGCAAAGAAGAAGAGACAGAAAAGGAGACAGATAAAACTAAGAAAGGAGACAGAAGAAATAGAGAAAGGAGACAGAAGAAAAAGAAAAAAAGAAAAAAGAAAAAGAAAAAGGAGACAGAAAAAGAAAAAAAGAAAAAAGAAAAAGAAAAAGGAGACAGAAAAAGAAAAAGAAAAAGAAAAAGGAGACAGAAGAAAAAGAAAAAGAAAGAGAAAGGAGACAGAAAAAGAAAAAGAAAAAAAAAAAGGAGACAGAAAAAGAAAAAGAAAGAAAAAGGAGACAGATGCTATCAACGAGAAGAAATAAATTTTGTGTGCAGCAGCGGATCCATCACCTGCACAACCACAAACCCTAAACCCTAAACCCTAAACCCTAAACCCTAAACCCTAATTTTTAAACCCTAAACCCTAATTTATAAACCCTAAACCCTACACAAAAAAAATAATAAACACAAATAAATAGACGAACAAGAAACAGAGAAAATCAAGGGTTTAGGGTTAGCAGGCTAACCCTAAACCCTAAACCCTAAACCCTAAACCACCAAAAGAGGAGAAATCAGTTTAGGGTTTAGGGTTTAGGGTTTAGGCTGCAGAAGAAAAGAAAAAAAAAAGAAAAAAATAAAACAAATTAATCAATTTACAAATAATAAATAAATAAATAAAATAAATAAATAAATAAATAAATAAAATAAAATAAAAAAACAAACATAAATAAATAAATAAAAAATAAATAAAAAATAAATAAATAAAAAAAAAGTTTAGGGTTTACGTACGTCTGCAATCTTGAGTGTTACCCAAACCCCCAAAACCACCACAAACACTAACGTTATACTCATCCTGCACACACAAACCCTAAACCCTAGACCCTAAACCCTAGACCCTAAACCCTAAACCCTAAACCCTAGACCCTAA